AGGATGTAATTAATTCTTATCAGTTGAGTCCTTTTGTGGCAAAAGTGGGTTATTTTCTTGTTAGCATTTCATGTTGATTTTCCCATATTTTACATTATCTTCAATAACTTGTAGAGAGAACCATAAGCAGTTTTGACAAGTTATGGTATCCGTGAGTGGTGATGTTTACTTTCGGAGCATCTTACATTACCATTAACCGCTAGCGCATTTGACATCTGTTCATGCCTTTTCTCTTCTCACATGTAGCAAGTTCTAGAAAAATTTTATTTCACGAATTCTCCCTCAGTTATGTTTTGACGGGACATCTCATTTAAGTAACTAATGCATATCCGTTGATAAGTCTGCATCAAACTGTCGTTTAGCTGAAAAGAGTTTGTTCGCAATGATCTCCTTTCTGCTGCTTTAGGAGGTATAGTTGTGTTTATGACCAAAGTGGACAATTATGGGCTTCGCTTGGGAATTTCTTTTGGTCTTTGTAGGTTTTTTTTCAATGCTTTATAGGTTATTATGCCAAAGAGAGCTTCTTGGTATTGGTTGTCATATACTAATATTGTTTGCTCTATTATGTCCGCATCCAGTGAACTGTACTTTCAAGTGAATGAATAGTCGGAACATCTTTACTGGTTCATCGTTATAAAGCAACAGTAAATACCTGCATTGTCAATGGCATTAGATACTGTAACATAGCACTTCAGTGACTGGATAGGATGTCACTGTATATGTAGATCAATTTGGCTTTCAAACCTAAATGAAATTTCCATCTCTTGAATAATTTGTCATTTTTCTTTTTCATCATGTAAATTGTTTGTTTAAGTTCATTATGGCATGAAAAGAAGCCATGTTTATAGCCTGGAATAAAGACGGTTTAGGATATACCATATCCTATCTCATGTTAAGGTAAAAGTGTGAATCCTTCTCAAATTTTTCAAAGTGCACAGATTATTTGATATTAAGAAAGTCTATTAGTAGTAAATAAAATTTTAATGCTTTATCTGCTGCATATCATGCTTATCTCAACCCGTATATATTTGTAATTCAAACATGCTTGTAAGAAGATATACTACATAAGAACTCCTGTAACATGTAGCCAGAAATGGCATTGTTTCACTTCATTATGTGATGGCAAAGTGGGATTTTGTTCTTTGTACTTATTCGTGCTAATTTGCGATAGGTCTGCAAATATGCTGCATCATCAAAGGAAGAGTGGGTAGAACAGTGCAAGCTATGGCCCACCTCATACCATCCACCAACCTAGTACGTCTCTTTTAAATTTTCCCATCAGTAGCAGTAATGCAAGTTCATGTCTTAAGAAGAACATTTTGACATCATGTTTTAGGACATTTTTGCAGGCTTAGGGTATTTGCATCAGCATGTGCAGGTGTCTCTGATTCTAATGTTGTGTCTAAGTAAGCAGCAGGTTAAGGTGGTTTTTCCGGGATAACTTTCTTAGGAATTTCAAGAATCTCTTGGGCAGCTTTCGGTGTTCATTTTATCCTTTTTACCTCTTTCATAATTTATTTCCAAGTAGATAAGTTGGAAGTTGGAGTCTGAAAACCAAAGACTTACAAAAAGTTGCAGTTTCATCTCAAATTTGATGAGCTTTGTTTTTAGAAATTTATGATGTGATTGATTTTACTTCGTTCAGCTGAGTTATATCAGTTTTGGTTGCATCTGGACCAAGAGAAGTTTTGGGTCATAGATAAACGAGAGAAGTTACTCTCAAGGAATAACTGATCAAGCCATCTCCATCATGCATAATGGCTGCTAATGAATCATGACTATATAGACCAAGGGTTGCCTAGTTGGTTGAAAATCACTCTTTTAAAGGCACTAGGCCATGTTTAAGTCTTATTATTCTCCTCTCTCTCCTTTTGCAATCAAACTTAAGCTTCACCACTTTGCATGATGCAATTCAATGGAGTTTGTGCAAATCTTTGTTCTTTTTTTTTGCATGTCCTAATTTTACTTCTTGTCAATGATCACAAGGAACTATCTGTTCCTCTATATTCATGTGTATTATGTGCAGTTATGTCAATACTGATACGTTCTCTTGACTTCTGATTTCCACATAGCAGCAATATCAGTGGCATAACTGGGTTTAGTGAAGAAGACTCACGATCAGTTGTAAGTTTTATGAACTATGCTCTGGAATTGGCGAAATCTCATGGTAATGTGGTAAGTGTTCGGGTATGACATTAACTTGTGATTAATGAATGCAATTTTGTTTGATTCTTCAATTTTGCATCTAATTATTTCTCAGACTAGTGTACATGCTTGATGAGTATCATTTCTAACTGCTCGTGTTTGAACTTTCAACATTTTTCCCATCAAGCCTTAGAGGGTTCACCATAGCTCGCGTTGGCTCATGGGAATCATTTTGGGTTCAGTAACAGGAAGTGAGATTTACCTGTTGTAATCAACTTGACAGGAAAGTGAAGTTTTTATGTGAAAGTCATGTTTATTGACTTTTGTACCAAAATACAAGAAGAAATCTTTTCTATAATAGGGGAAAACAATCCAATCATTTCGAAGGTTGGGTCCTTTAGACAGTTGTCCCTTAAAATGTTCATGCATAGACATAGTAAAATAGAGGTTTTGGGAAGGAATTATAGCACTTCATGTTGCTCCCCAGTTGTGCGTCCAATTTTTGATATATCCTGGCGTATGCACCTCTTATGTTGTGGAAATTGCACAAATTCTGCTTTTGTTACACCCTTCTCTTGTCTACAGGTGGTCAATGCTGCAGCCATTGTAGATCCTCTGTCTAATCAAGTGATTGCAAGGGCATGTGATGAAGTCTGCTCTTGGCATACTCCAAAAACAGAAGTTGGTGCTGAATTTAGTAGTTCCACCAAATCTCCTGCTGACATGACTGGATGGATAAAACATGAATTAGGTCTTCAGCGCTGTTCCTCAGGTGGGCCAGAGCAAGTTGCGACATCCATTTCTTGTCTACATCCTCGGTGGTGGGTAGATGAACAGACTCGCAGGAGCTCTTCATTTTGGCACCCGTTGCGACATGCTGTTATGGTGGCCATTGAATCATCTGCTGCTAGGGACAGATGCTTATTCCCTGATGTGAGATACAAAGATGAAGCTACTAAAGAAGAGTGTATTCTATCTCCTGCAAAGTCTCAAGCAAAAAGACGGAAAACTGATGGCACTGACGTAAGCTTTTCCTTTACATGTGAAGGAAATCCTGGCAAGCCTTTCCAGCATGACAACGGCATCTAAGTGTCATCTGTTTCTTTGTTTTGAAGTGGATGATCGTTTCTCAACATTTGCGAATATCGTCATAGTAGTTCATCTATTATTGCTCAACTCAAACTCCGATTAGCTCTCGGATCGTTGGTTGGGTGCATGTTATAATCATCCCTTAGTCAATTTCATTTTCTCGATAGACTTGCTAATGGTCAACTCTGTATATACGATGATTATTAGGTGAACAACTTTTGATGACAACGTATACTCAACCAATAATACATGCACTGTCCACCAAATAACTAGTCGGCACTAAAGGTGAAATGCTCGAGGATTATTTGGCACTGAACATATGGAACCAACTATTGCATTTCATCCTATAGCTTGATTCTCTGCTTCTTCTTTGCATTTAATCAGACAATATTTCAGCTTGGCACTGACTTCTATATAATTGTGGGAATTCAGGTCGACGATGGTGACAAAAATGATGATGCTCATGGAAATGGTGATCTCTCTAGTAGACCGTATTTGTGCACTGGCAATGACATCTACCTTGTTTGGGAGCCATGCACAATGTAAGTTAAAACAAATCAACTGCAACTGTCTGGTTTGGTGCATGTGCAGGCTATTTGGCTGATTACCCTTTTGCCCAAAATATCTGCAATTCTGCCTCAGACAGTAGTGGTTCTTTGCACATGCACTTTACATTCCTGTCGTCTTTCTAGATTAGATATTTTTCACATTTGAGAGGGAGAGTTGCATTTCATTTGGCACAACAAGCGTTAAAGAGTTGTAGATTTTCTGAAATAGAGTGATGAATTACCTGATATTGAGCTTTGCTGTTACATCTCGTCTTGTTTAAGGTGTGCGATGGCACTTGTGCATCAGAGAATCAGGCGTGTGTTTTACGCTTTTCCAAATCCGAGTGCGGGAGCGTTGGGCAGCGTTCACCGGCTACAGGGCCAAAAAAGCTTGAACCATCACTATGCAGTGTTCAGGGTTGTGATGCCACAGGATATCCTCGACAAAGCAAAAACGTCGATATGTGGGAGCTGAGGATGAGAATGTCGAGTTGAGGATGCCTCAAATTTTGCAGGAAGAAGATCGTAGGAAGATTTGTATTGCATTATTTATCTTCTTGGTCATCAGATTTTGGACTTCTTTTTCGCCTTTCTAATCTTGTTCGAGTTATGTATTGCATTTAGATGTCCATATTTAAGTTAAAGAAATTCCACAGTTGTTATGAAGTTGGCCTTCATGCTGTATTCTTATGAATGAGAGAATGAAATATACAGAGCAAGGAACTGGAGAGATGGTATTGTAATTGGGACAGAAGCATCTGAAAGACTCGCAAGATGGCTTCGAAGACTAGGAGCGGTGACTTGCGAATATAGCTTTTTGGTTTCGGTAACTGTATCGTTTAGGTGATGTGCTCATGTGGGTCAGCCCCCATTAGCATGTATGTTACGGCCACTTGACCTTTCTTGAGATGTCTTGTTGAGTTGAAATGTCCAGTAGCTTGAAATTGGCTATGGCTTGGGCAAATATCTTCTAAAGACCCAATCTGTAACTTATTCGAAGAGTTCATGATCTCTCTCCTTCCATTTCCTTGTAACAATGCATCTCTGCTCTTCTAAGATCTTTGAACCATTAGTGAACTCAAAGCTTTTATAGCTAAGCAATTTTTGCTGATTATAGCTTGTGTAGGTCAGTCGTTTGACTTAGTTTTGCAATGGCTGGTGAGTTTGGTACCGAAGCTTCCCCAAAGCAGCGCTAATTTTCATGAGTCCAATCAGAAGTTATCACAATACAACAATAGATGAATATCACTTATAATTTGAAGCTACAGTAATGGAATCGACAACCCTAGGGTTGAAAAGCCTTTACAACCGAGCCAAAAAGGGGAAACATGACAGACACTACTAATTGAAACAAAGATTGAATTTGCTTGTACTTTTTTTTCAGACTTTGGAACATGTCCTTATTTTTCAAATCTTTACACTCATTTTGCAACCAGCATTTAGAGAGAGAGACTTGGGCAAATTCTATACACAAAAGGGTCCTTCGAATTTCTCGGCAAAATTCGGCATCGAATCCTAGATTTGGCTTTATATTGAGATGTCAAACATGTTCTTCACCAAGTTGTCCATCATCTGATTCGCGACTTCTATGGCACATTGTATGTCCAAACTCCGATTGTCGAACTTGCCATACAATGTGGATGGCGATGGGTTCTTGTTGGTTTTGGGGAGCTTGAGAGGGCAAGAGGACAGGGGAAGAATCGGCAAGTTGTTGCAGTTGCAGATCTCGATCATGTAACCATCCGGGTCATGGAAGAACAGCTGATCGACTTTGATGCCGCCTTCCTCGACGACCGCGGTCACGTACTCGATGTTCATCTCTTCGAGCTTCTTCATCACGAGCTTCATGTCGGCGCACTGGAAGGAGATGTGGTTGTCCTTGGGATTTATCACCCCTTTCTTTGCCGGAACATCGTCCACTTCAAGCAAGTGGATGCCAATTCCATAGTTGAACAGCCTGAAACGGAGAAGGCCAATCCTATCATCAAATCCGGTCGCACCATCGACTCACGTATCGAACATCTTTCTCGAATTCGACAAATCTTCGCCCGAGAAAAAAATCAATGGAATTCACCATACTATTGTACATGTGAGTTCAAAAAACCTAAACATCTACCTAAACAGAACTGCCACAAAGGAGCTATCAGGTGATGATGGATTGGAGACTTATTCTTGTTCAACTGATTAAAAGGTAAGATTGTAAAGTCAAAAGAGTTGGTGGAAAGTGGACACAATTTGGTTATCCCAAACTTAGGACAATCACCTACCTGCTTTAAAAGCAGGGTCTTGTTAATAAATTTTCCTGAACACCTATGAGGCAAGTAATTGAGAAAAATTTCCACAATCATCATTTTGAAAATTAAATTAACTTTCATTTAATATACTTAACAAATGCATTGAAAGCGCTGGTTTACAACATACTTAAGAATATCAGTTTTATCATAGTGTCTTTTAACTGCTTTGCACCTGAAGCTGGTCTGACCCATCGAGAAACCAATCCTGTTCTCTTTTTCTTTTTCTCTTTTCTTTCCAAGAAAATAGTTTTATAAAAAAAATTTATAAATATCCATAATGATTGTCTCGCCAGCGCACTTGGGGCCCTTTGTCAAATTAAAAAGAGCAAATTAAACAAAGATGATGATGATGATGATGATGATGACGATGATGGTGGTGGTGACATGTGATGGCAAACCCATGTCACCACATGTTTTACTCTTTAGTCACCTTCTTTTCCAAACTACACGGTTCACAAAGCACTTTAGAAAAGGCTGCTACAATAAAGGAAAACAAGATGATCTAGCGCAAGTCAAGTAAAGTTAGGCTAAGATGCACAGCAGGTCCAAGGTGTTTTGATAATGTGGACCACAGGGGAGTAAATTTCTCTTTGGAAGCCCTCAAAAACTATAGGACCACAAAATCAACACAATTCGACACCGAAGCTCGAATCATACTCACGTTTCGTGTCCGATGGGACCGGCCAAACCACGAAGACCGGGGCCGGTACCGCCGGTCCGACCGACGCAGTGCGATCTTCAAAGCACTGATTCGGAGGGGCGAAAAAAAACAGAAAGGGAGGCGCGGGGGCGGGACTTACCAAGCGCCTTCGAAGTTGAAGGAGGAGGGCCGCTTGATGAGGACGAAGCCCAGGACGCGCTCGTAGAAACTCACGGACTCGGCCAGCGACTTGCACACGAACGACACGTGGTTCAGCGACAGCAGCGGCAGCTCCGGCTGCTGCTGCTGCTGATGCCCCGACGACGACGACGAGGAGGGGTACGAGGATTCCGCCAGCCACCTCTGCATCTCCTCCTCCTCCGCGCTCACTATCTCCTTCCCCATCTCTCTCTCTCTCTCTCTGTGTTTTGGAATGTGATGATGGCAAGAGGCGTTGCGAGCTTTGATGAGTGGGAACTGCGAAGAGAATAATGTGAAATGAGTGAGGGGAGGAAGGAGGGTTTATATAATGGCGAGAGAAGAGCGCAAGGCAGGTTTCACGCTTTTGTCCTCTTGAAAATACAGCGAAAATCTCTGTCGTCACCCTCGAAAGAAACAAACAAAAAAAGAAGAAGGAAAAATTACCAAAAAAAAATGTATTTAATAATGCGAGCCCTCTCTTGCAGCATTTTTCATGCCGTGTTTTTATGTTTATAAGTGATAAATTGATAAGGCTTTGCTTCTTCTTCTTTTTTTTAAAATTGAGAATGGGTCGTGAAGAATTTGGTGAGATTAGCTCGCCGGCAGTGGCACGAGGCGGCTCGTCTTTCGTACGCGAGTGAAGATGGGACTTGTTCGACAATAGAAAACGGTGAAATTAATGCGTTCCGATCGCGAAAGGAGTTTCTTTATTTAATTTTTCTCTCTATTTTTTTTTTTTCAAAAATGTTACCGGTTTCACTTTTCGACCCCCAGATGATAACATGACGGCCCTAATTATATATGTGTATATGTATGATCTAATTTTATAAACATGTAAATAAAAGTCGCGAATGTTCGGCGACCCTTTTGAAAGTCAGGATTCGCGCTTGTCCTTTTGAAAATACGGCAAAAATCGCTGTCATCACCCCCAAAAGAAAAAGAAAAGGAAAAATTACGAAAAAAATGTATTTAATAATTCGAGCCCTTTCTTGCAGCATTTTTCATGCCGTTTTTATTTTTATAAGTGATAAATTGATAAGGCTTTGCTTTCTTTTTAAACTGTAAATTGAGAATGAGTCATGAAGAATTAATGCGTTCTGATAGCGAAAGGAGTTTCTTTATTTAATTTTTCTTTTTCTTTTTTTCAGAAATGTTACAGATTTCACTTTTCTACCCCAAATTATAACATGACGGCCCTAATTATTTACGTGTATATGTATGATCTGATTGTATACATGTAAATAAAAGTCGCGAATATTCGACGGCCCTTTCTTTCCGTGGCATCTCTCTTCTTCTTCGAAAGGGAGAGGGAGGTCGAGAATTCGAGTTATGTACCAACGATTTCAACAAGGACAAAGAAGTAAAAACCCAACGGTTCAAAAGTAGGGTTTTTTAAAATTTTCAATTTCAGGTACGCATAATTATGGAGAATTATGTCTATATCCTTGGATCCTCTATATTGGTCAATAAAGAAATCAAAGTGACCCAATAATTCAAACATTAGAAAAAAAAATCTTTTCTTAAGTGGCCTCCAGCTACTAATTACAACATTCTTATTTTTCTTAATCACGAAAATTATCGATGTAAATCAACCTTTTCCGCTTATAATTAAAATAATCACCGTTTGATTATGTTAAACATTCTGAAACATTCTAGTGACCACAACAGTTTTTTGCACAAATTTAATCTTTAAAACATGTGTAACAAAAAAAATATTGTTGGGGTCACGGCGATCAACATCGCTTTCACAATCATTGTACTATTTGGGATACGTGTCACCACGTGCTTTGTCGCTTGGATTGCTCTTGTTCCCCCGCTAAAATGACTCGTTAGTTAAAAAATTATGCAAAAAAAAAAAGTTTATTAATACCGCCGAAAACCTAATATCCGTCGCGATACAAATACCTAAAATTGTTATAGTGTCGAAAAAAATCATAATCCATGCTCACGGCAATGCCGGTATGAAAAAAAAAAAAAAAAACCAATTCCTATAGCCATTTTGCACAAAATTCCAATGAAGTCATTCCGATCAAATTTTGTCGGAAATTGCTGGCTCGGCAGTCCAGTCGACATTGGCCATCTTACGTGGGCACACCGCTGCGTCACGATTTCCAACGAAAATTAACCGGAAGGGATTCTTGCGAGAAAGTTTGGAGCCAAATTAATAAAATTGAAAAATTAAAGAGTGAATTGACATACTTATAAAGTATGTTCGTGACCGATTGGACAATTAACCCCACCTTTTTCGTGTCGCCAAAACCTTCAAATTTGTACCAGCGTGACAAAAAATCGGGACATTAGTGTCATTTTGGGGTTTTTTTTAATGGTATTTTCCACACAAAAAAAAAGAGAAAAGAAAATAAAGCCATTTGAAATAGCAGGTGAGAACGGAGACAAACGTACGGACAGACAGGGACCGTGGCGATCATCATTATACCGTGTCGGGTCACACTTATCACGCCCTCCCCCTTTTCACTTTATTATTTATTTATTTTTTATTCTTTCATAATAAAAAAAGAAACACTAAAAACCCCAAAATTTTTTACATGACACATTTTACTCGAACTTTTTTTTTGTGCACCACACTTTGTTATTTGTGACATTTACTGCAATATACATTGTCCATGGGCATTTTCGTCTTTTTAGCTTTTTCTTTTTCTTTTACTTTTTTTTCTTTCCTGGGCGAGGCCCCTCGCCGGATCCGGCGAGGGGGCCCTCGCCCTCCTCGCCCGAGCCGGGCGAGGCTCGCCCGGCGCCGGCGAGGCTCGCCCTCGCTCGCCCGGGCGAGGGCGAGGCTCGCCCGGCCGGATCCGGCGAGGGCCGCCCTCGCCGGCGTAGGGCGAGGCTCGCCCTCGCTCGCCCGAGCGAGGGCGAGCCCCGCCCGACGCCGGCGAGGCTCGCCCTCGCTCGCCCGGGCGAGGGCGAGGCTCGCCGGCGTCGGGGCGGGGCTCGCCCTCGCACGGCGAGCGAGGGCGAGCCTCGCCTACGCCGGCGAGGGCGGCCCTCGCCGGATCTGGCCAGGGCGGCCCTCGCCCGACGCCGGCGAGGGGCCCTCGCCGGAAAAAAAAAAAAAGTAAAAAGAAAAAGAAAAAGCTAAAAAGACGAAAATACCCATGGACAATGTATATCGGGGTAAATGTGTCACAAATAATAAAGTTTGGGGTTTTTGGTGTCACAAAAAAAAATTCGGGGTAAATGTGTCACAAGTGGGAAAGTTTGGGGTTTTTGGTGGTTTTTTCCCATTAAAGTGAGTTTTTTTTGTGAATAATAAATTAATAAATATGCAGTGGTGGCGATCCTATCCACACCGAACGACTCCCTCCTACTACTACACGGTCTTTTCCAAAGCCACGCGGGGGGCGCGTTTTGCCTTCACTTAATTTCGTAACGTTTTTCGTCTGCGACAAAATTGGTACGCGTCGTTTCAGTTTAGTCTAATTCAACTCAATTCAACTCAATTCAATTCAATATAATATTTTTCTGGGGCTTCACATTACTGCTTGTTTTTTTCTTTTTCTAATTTCTTGGTCAGTTCGTGAGTAAAAGTCTCCATTTCAAGCGGCGGGGCCGAAATTAAAATCGGGAAAAACGACGAGAAACGAGCAGATGCGAAATCGCCAGCATAAATTACCGGGATAAGTATTTTGGAAGTCATAAAACTTATCACGAAATTGCAATCGAATTATGAAACTTGCAGAAAGTGCAACCAAGCCTTTAAACTTGTCAAATTGGTTCTATTGAGTATGGTTTAATTCTCCGGATAATACTACAAAAAAATCTCAAACTAGTATATCCATTAAAAATATTACCTCCGTTGGCTTCTCCCCGATATTATCGTTGATGTGAAAACACACGTGACAAACAACGTATAATTAATGTGCTACATGTATCCAATGTGGAAATTCATCATAAAGGCTCTCCTATACAACGTCGTTGGGGAGCTAGATCTGGAAAAAATGAACTGGGATTGAGAAATCTGCTAATTTTGGCCTAAAAATTTCCCTACATTTCGAAAATCTAATGAAATCGCTAATTTTGCCCTAAGATTTTGATAGATTTGTCACCGGCGTTTTAATTTGGAATTTTTTTGTGATACGAAAGGTAATATAGGGTAAACGTGACGTGTCGGTTTGCAAATTTGTTTTTTGTGGTACTACTCATTTAATTTTCGACCACAATTTTTCGCGGGTCCATAAATAGGAATCAAAATAGTGGACCCAAAAATGAATTGGATTAGACAGTGCGTAGAGATATGGTAGGGCTAGGGCTAGGGCAGACATGGTCTGTTCACTCGCAATCACATGTGGATCGTTTTATGTGTACTTAAAGTTGTACAGCTAGATGTCTAGTCATCGTCACGTCATTCTATGTCCCACAAAGAAAAAGCTACGCATGCATGTCGATTCAAGCAAGGCTCATTCATAAGTAATCTTAATTAATCGGCATATAACACATACACATATATAAGGGCTATTCCCAAAAAAAAAAACACAAATTTTACATTGAGCGATAATTTTGGCCCGATTTTTTTTATCTCGATAAAAAGCACCAATTTTTACTCGAGTCTCAAATTTGGCCCTCGTGATGTGAAATTTTCAAATTGTTCGGGCCAAATTTGAAATTTAAGTGAAAGTTAGTAATTTTTTATGAGACAAAAATGTTTTGACAAGAATTGTCACTCAAGATAAAGTTGGTGCTTTTTTTTAAGAATTAAGCCCATTTATGTTTTATGTTTACGGGAACTACAGTGAATATCGTGAGGATAATTGTCCAAAAAATCCTAAATTTATCGTACAACGGCCAATTCAGTCTTATAATTTTCAATTTGACCAACTTTAGTCCTAAACCTTTTTGACGATTTGCCAATGCTAGTCCTCCTGGCTGCCGCATTAGCAATTTTCGGCAAAAATTGATCGGAATGACTACATTAGCAAATCATCAAAAGGTTTAAGATGAAATTAGATAAATTGAAAAGTTTATGACTGAATTAGCCACTGTACAATAGGTATAACAAATTTTGGACAATTTTCTCGAATGTCATGAGTTCGTAATTTCCTTTCGCACGTGGATTTTCATTCATTTGTTTAGTTGCTGTAATCATTATTTTCTTTTCCACATATATTAGGCAGTTCCCACATATATACTCAAGAAGTCAATTAATTGCATTGGTGTAAGGTAAACATGGGAAAGCTTAAGATCGACTTGGACAAAATTGACGTTGAATTTCTAGATTGTTCAGATGGAAACAGCCCCGCA